AGTGCCCCTAAAATTGGAGAATATCGAATTTCTCTGCTAGCATTGTGATTCTTTTGTGAATAAACATCACTACTCTTTTTGAGTAGCATAGCAATGACAGAGTTGGTTTGATGTATGACAAAAATGGAGCTGCTTTTTAAACCTGTACTGTATAATCAGTACCGCCGGAAGCAGTTTTTGATCGGTCTGGTAGTTTCATGGCCTTTTATACTTTGTGTGTGATATGGCGGGTACACACGTCCTCCACAGCAGGAAACATTTGTTGGTGGCCAACAAGTTGGTCCGGTGATAACCCGACCAACCAGACCGGTTCCGGTGGGCCTGATAATTGTGGGGTTCATGAGCAGCTCAAGTACTTAGCATGGTTTTGGACATGTCCTCATTTGAAACCAACTTCACCCAAGCGTTCTCTGAGGGGACCGAGGTCTACTCTATCAGTTCATGTATTCTGTGAAGTGACATGACCATTCGTGGGGACCTTGCTCATAACTGCAAAAGTCCTTATCTGATTTTTCCGCAGCAATTGAACGTTGTACATGTGCATGTAGTGAAAGCCACATGCAAAAGGCTGTTCCATGGCACCATGCCACCAAGCTCTGGGTTCATTGGCTGAAAATATTCTTCGGCACAGTAAAGTCGTGCGCCCAAGAGCGTGGAAGCCTAGAACATCCAGCCTGGAATACTAAGAACACCACAGCCCAAATTTAAGAATTGTGGTGCTGGGTTTGTGCTGTTGTAAAACACGGGGATTGTTATTGATTGTCATGTTGTACATGTATTTGAGCTTTACCACTACATACACGTCTGTCTATACACAATACTCAATCTGCGGACAGCATGCTGTTTCGCTCATCAATGCAGCACAGAGAAAATGAGGCAGATGAATGTCCTGCTAGAGAGCATCGAATATAGGTATAGAATCATGCCTTGCAGATCTCGTTACGGCCCCTTCGATGCATGCATGTTTGAACATTAGATGGCTGTGTAGCTTCAGTTATCTCAGAATATTTATTTATCCAGCAGCAACAACGTTGGGCACCGATTAACTGACACACAACTATTCACTATAATGAGTATGCGTTGGAACACTTTACCCCGAGTCATACTATAGCAGTGAATGCCATGCATGGGTTTACCTCACAAACTGAATTTCATAATTTGACATCCAAATCACAGAAGAGTGAGTGGTGTTCCAAACTCACTCCATGTCCTGCGAGCTCCAGTAGAATACTTTAATAGAATACTTCTTATAGCACGTTCTTAGAAACAAATCGTATAGGTTTGAGGCTGTCAACCCAGAAATTTGTGATTTCACAGCCATAGATGTTACCAGTCAGGTCACTGTATACAGTAGGTATGCAGAAGAAAATAATAGTAACTCTTTGTGGAAGAGCTGTGCCAAAATGTGTACAGTACAGTAAATTAATAAAAAGTGAGAAAAGCAGTGACAAGGCTGTGCATGATGTAGATCCACCAGTAAGTACAGTGTACCAGTGAAACTGTTGGTGTAGTACCGGTATACCACTATAATGATGGCATGGCCCATGCCACTACAATCTATTTGCAGTGGGCCGCAGTAGGGCAGTGCAACGGAAAGCAGTTCAGTAGCTGTGTGCAATGTGAACATCTATGACATGCAAGTAAACTGCCATACAGCACAGTCGATTACTCTCAGCCCACATAAGTACAATGTAGGCCAATCAGTAGTATAGATACATAGAGCACACTCTGCATCATACATAGTCAGCAACAAATCTATACTGTCGATGTACTTTGCAATGATGAAATGATGGCAAGCGTGCTTGATTCATCATAATACTGCCTTGAACTTGGTTGGAAGTTAGTTGTAAGTTCAGTGGTCGGGGTAAGCAGAGCTGCTCCAGCTTTCAGAATCCTGCATGAAAAAGGCAGAAAGCAAACCATTGCCTTTGGGTTATCCGTCATAATAAAAATAAAAATAATAAAGCTAGTTTTATTGATTGCGGTTATCAAATTATTGTCTCCTCGCCGTGTGTTTAAATATTTTAAATCGAGATACACCCAGCCTCAGATAGATGTTCTGAATCTAACGCTGAAAGCACGTTTTCATTACCGTAGTGTCGCCCTTAATGTAGTTTTTCTTAGACAGTGTTTAGACAATGGCGTATGTCCTAGCGGTGTAGAAAAGCGTGTTCACCGAGCCAAGGCATACCACACGTTGAACATCGAGCGAGTGTTCATGAAGGATGAGATATTTTTCCCTACACCATTTCTTCATATTTTCATCGTTTTATTGCACATCGTCTCCACCGTTTTTACATTGCATGAATAAAGTACACAAATGTCGGTTCAGCTAGTTTTATTGATTGCGGTTATCAAATTATTGTCTCCTCGCCGTGTGTAAAAATAATAAATGTAGGTATAATAGTAGCAAGCTGACGTAAAGAGCCTGTCTTTCAATCCAATAATTCTATCCACTGCATGGACAGACCTGGTGCTTCATTCACCTCTGTTTCTTGCTTTCTCAGAAAACCTACTTCCTCCTTCTGCCATCTAGCCCATGACATACATTTTCTTTACGCCTTTTCAGCCGTGGTCGACTTTCGCCCCTCCTGTTTGATTGGCAATTGCAGTCAACCTGGGGAATACTGACCCTCAACTGTGAATGAAAAAAGTGTCGCTATTGGTGTATTGTTGTTACTCGTGAGGTTGGAAGTATGCAATCAAATGGTCACTAGATCTGAAGATTGTTATTTGCGAGTTGTTTTGTAAACCCGAGGTACATTATTCACAAGTTGGATTGTACATGCTATGGGATGTAGAATAACTAATCAAACAAGAATGGTGTAACACTGATTGAGTCCATTTCCAATTGGATGAACCTAGAGCGCATGATCCATTCCAGAAAGGCGACTTCAGTGAGTCTTGAATTGTCAGCAGCATCATACTTCCATTGAGCTTTTTTCTTTCTTTTTCGAAATGACCCTCTCTTTTCAATTCGAACGAAGGTCAACATACGATTACGGCAGGCATCCATGCACTGATCTTCACTGTATACATGTGCATGTATACTGTACTGTAGTCTGTACAGTCAACTAGTCGTGGTCCACTTGGCTTACGGTAAGTGTCACTACAAGTGCATAGTAGCCCCCCCCCCCCCCCCCGGGAGTGCGTGTGAACAGGAACTGTGAACTGGTAAAATAATTATTCGACACCTTCGTTCGTTTCGATGGAGAAGGTTCATTTGGCAAATTGAGGCCTTCGTTTCACCCCTAGCCCCAGGAGCGAAATTTTCACTCCTTGGCTGCCTGTTTGAGCCGTCCTTGTGGAAGGGTTGATTTATGCATGCTCGCATATAGACCTTATTCGATAAACGTCACGATCACGTGAACCGGGGACCAGGGAGCGGCAAGAGACCTGCACTCAGTGCACAGAGGACTCGTCGTGGGAACATAGGAACAGAAAAATACCGGTATTTTACTACTCCCTTGTACGAACTGGGCCTTTCTTGCCACTTGTTTCACGTACGCGTGCCCCAGCTTACGACAAATCCCTGGAGGCGAGTCCAAAAATCACGTATGTATCTACATATACAATGTAACCGTAACTCTACCAATGTTGTGGACGATGACCCCCCCCCCCCCCCCCTCCGGCATACAGAAAGTTGCTATGTCCTGGCCCTCATACAGCATTGCGGAAGCACTGAATCACTTCTGCAAAAAGGACTAGCCGAAAGTGGCACAACAAATTTCTATTCCCAGAAAAGCGGTGTTCCAGCCGAGTTTATCTTCTAATTAAATGGTTTTCTCGGTTGGGATTTCATACCTGACAACCATCCCGACATCGAGGGCGGTAATAGGCACCCAAAAGAGCAATAGTTCCATGCCTCACCGCGAGGTATATTTGTATACATTTTCATGCCTAGGTATGTCATTCGATCTCAGGTTTGCAAAGGTTGGCAGGTATGGGATTTGTAGAGTGACCAGTTCTGACTATTGCCACCTGCTGCGCAGAAGTGTCATTCCTACATCCTGGCTGCAAACATACCTCCCCCCCCCCCCCCCACACACGCCACCACCAACAATGTTGGATCCTATTTACAGGACCTCACTCTATATGAAAGTGTAGCAGAGGCACTGCCAAAGTATAAAAACAACATTTGAAATGCAAGCTCCATTGTGCATGCATGGAGGGCATGGGGAAGAGACTGAGAGGGTGAAAGTGAAGGAAATTTGTTCCGAAATCAAGAGAATCCGAGGAACCCTTGCTGCATTCTTCAGTTCGATAACGTCAGTGGGTGCATCTCAGATGTGTTGTGTGCCCAGACATACAAGTAGCACTAACCTGAGCATGAGAGCTGCTTGTCATCATCGTGGTCAGGAAAACGAAAGGACGAACGAAGAAGATTGCTGACCATAACGAACAACAGTGCATATCCAGACGACAGACGGCTTTCCAGAATCAGTCTGGTGCATCTTCAGGAATCTTCTTTCCTAATCGCATTCAGCAGTCAGCTTCGAGGTCAAGAGCGCGATGATATTTTCAGAAGGAATAATTTTCAATTTTTTTTAAATTTTGGGGAAGAAGCTTCCTTTCTAAAAAAAGCGTTCCTTGCTTTCACGCAAGATGCCTTGCGGGACATGTCGTCGACAGCACAGTGTCGGCAGATCCACGTTTGTAGGCTGCAGACCCGGCAGACGTTTTGATCAGCCCGGCCTGGTGGTGAGATTTTGGACCTGGGAGTACTAAAAACTGCTCGCATCCCAGGGTGCTCAGTTTCGCTCTATCCGATCGAGTAAGGCTTCCAGAAAGGCCCTCAGGTGCGCGGCCTGCGGTGCCATAATATACCTCCGGCCCTGATGCACGTGTCACTTCGACAGCGTCCCGCAACACGGGGACAGGGTCGCTTTGGCGACACCAAAATGTTGCTTCAACACAGACAACACTCAACAGTCAGTCAACAGGTAAAAATGCAATGACTACATGTATGTAATTGTTGACACAACAATCATCCGGTGGCCTGTTTGATTTCGAATGTTCAACAAGTAATAAAATAATTAGTTTGTTCTTCAGGTTCATGTGAACCGTGGCTGCTGTTACTGCTTCACTGCGATGTAGAGCATCATTAGACGTTCCCATTAGGCAGTATGAGCAAGCTGACATCCCTGTGGCGGAGTGTGACGGGACCGGGAGGTAAACTTCTGCAAATTCATGTTCTATTCTCAGGGTTTTTGTGGCTTGAACACGTTGTATTTGACTATTTCGGGGTCGTTTCGCAAATGATCTCTTTCTATACCGTTTGTCACATACATGTACCAGTGAGAACCTTGCGCTTGTGACTGTTTTCTTTCATTTTTATTCACACACGAATTCCTCAGCTAAATACACTGTAGTGAGAAACCTAATTTCTAAATCTTTCTCACATGCACTATTTATATGAATTTCCATCTACTAATACATGCATTGTGCAAACAAGTGTTAGGTACGCCAGAATGTACGCTCAATAAATCAGCATAATTTGTACAAACCAATATGCCCCATGCAAGCACACACCGCAATAGTTCTAAATCAGATGTGTTTTAAGTGGGCACCTCCGGCATACGAATCTCCTCTGCACAAACGCTGTCAGACTAAGGATTAGTACACCACCTGTTCAAATCCTCTAAAATATGTTCATCGTGATGGGGTATGCACACACACTCACACACGCGCGCGCGCGCACACACACACACACACACACACATACAATGACTGAACGAGCACCATCAAGTCTTCAAACCGGACGGCCGTAGATTCACATGCTGGTCATATTGACCATTATCAGAGCAGGTGTGTGCAATCAAAAGCCTTTTGCTTGTTTCTGGGTTTTTTTCTCTTTCTTCCTTTGTTCTCATCTCTATCGGTTCTCACCTCTGTCTTTCCTAATATTGTAGATCCGCTGAGTGAGGAGCAGTTGCGGCACTATGACCAGCAGCGTTCTGCATTGTTGAAGCGTACCTCACTGGCAGTGAAACAGGTACTACTAATCTGCCATCTTGTGCTACTGCTAATACAAACTGAAATGTTGCCACCTTCGGCGGTAATAGTACTAGAAAAAGGTGTCTGCTCCCAGTGTTGTGGGTCAGGCAAGAGGCGTGGGTCAGTCGGCAGGACGTGTGATTGCCAGCATTTGAAAGCATTAGGAGCAGCACATCAGAGATATTCTAATATGTGTGTATGCTGTTGTGCAGATCCAGCTGGATTCCTGTAACATTGAAGGAGATGAGGTCGGTCAGTCCACCCAGGTCATCAAGGATGGAGATGGCTCCAGCCAGCTGATGCATAGCTTTGAGGCCATCCTGGAACATGGCCTGATTGAAGGGTAGGTCAGATAATGTGTATGCCAGCGAGTGGCTGTGCATGTGTATATGACTGTGTTTGTACGTGTTTGGCGCGTGTGTGTGTGTGTGTGTGTGTGTGTGTGTGTGTGTGCACACGTGTTTGTACGTGCATGCATGTGGGCTTTTTTCCACTGAATTGGTACATCAATATGGATCAAACGTTTGTAGGATCATTTTCGCAGGCGCAACCTCGCCAGTCACAACTCTACAAGGGCTGTATTGCAATGTGTACCGAGTTGGTGCACCCAGCGGATCAAATGTTTTCTATTGCTGGCAACAACTTCCTTCAGGCTTGGTGATGACATTTTGTCATTCCTGTACATTGCAGAGTATTGTCTTTCGGTGGCAAGCCAAGTTTCTGGCCGCTGATTGGTCGTGTGTCTCGCAAGCAAGCTGTCCAATATTTGTCACGGTAAGCTCTCCTTTTGTTCATTGTGAGATGTGTGTGGGTGTGGGTGCGTGCGTGTGGGTGTGTTGCAGTTAGTGTTGCAGTTTTTGTTGCAAACACTTTGTACATTGATTGTTGGTGGTGGGTCGTTTACATGCTGTGTTTTCTGAGGTGTGGGGCATGCTTCAAGTTCTGAAAAATCGTCGAGAAATCCAACTTGCAGCGTATCTCGAGCGAGCATTTCATCCCTCCACTACAAACATACAAACGTGAATATGATGCGTTGCCTCCAAGGAAGGAGTACAGCTCATATAACTGGTATACGGAGGTCTTGCTTGATAGTTGTTTAAACATGTTTTATGGTTTATGGTTTATGGGTGCAGTCAGGAACACTGTTTTACAGTGTGTCCTCCGCCTTGTAACATTGCTGTCATCGTAAAAAAATAAAAAATAAAATAAAAAAGCTCATATGTGTACAGGTGCAGCTAGTACCCCATGGAATACGGGTATGACTTCTTCTTTGGTATTGTCTTTCTCCGTGTGTGTGTGTGTGTGTGTGTGTGTGTGTGTGTGTGTGTGTGTGTGTGTGTGTGTGTGTGTGTGTGTGTGTGTGTGTGTGTGTGTGCTGTTTCCCTCACCAGACTACAGCATGTAATGTCATGTAACGAGTTACGTGTGTCTTCTCTGTGTGTGTGTGCTGTTTGCCTCAACACCAGACTACAGCATGTGACATCCAGCGCTGCCCGATGTAGAGCCTGGTTACGACTGGCCGCCAACGAAAGTTCCCTGCAAAGCTACTTCCTGGTGCTGTGCAATGACAAGGATTTGCTACGGTAATACTTACGTGTACATGTACTTGTACATGTTTACACACTGTTACGTCTATCTGTGATCTGCATCAATGCATGGCGTTCTCTAGAATCCCTGGTATATGTTGCTTTTCGTATTGGCATACTTCCTAGCGGTCTGTTTTGCCAGTCACTATGAGCTCTGCTGATGTCTAGCAAAGTTGAACAGCAATCTGTCTTGAGGGTATTCACAGAATTTACTTGAGTATATTTTCACTGCTCTCATTGCATGCACATGTATATGTTACTTGCCCCATGTCTGGAACTTCGCTATCCTTGCCGAATGCTAGTATGCGTGTGGTGCATTGTTCTATAACCTGTGTGTGTGTGTGTGTGTGTGTGTGTGTGTGTGTGTGTGTGTGTGTGTGTGTGTGTGTGTGTGTGTGTGTGTGTGTGTGTGTGTGTGTAAATGTGGATACGTACATGGTGATGCGCACACGCTTGTGTACTGAGCAGGGAGTTCTATGAGGGGCACGCATTCTTGTTAGATGACGACAAGACGGCTGTTCTGTGTAATCTACTCAACGGTGTCAACACCATCTCCTTCAACCTGTGAGTTTGTGCCATGATTCCCCTTGCAGTCGTTACTTAGTGAGTACGCAATCGTGTACATGTCGTGTACATGTTCTGTCTAACTGCTTGGGCATATAGTTTAAGGCTTGCCGAACTCTATGTATAGCGGACTGATGTGCGGCACTTGTATTCCTGTCCACAACATGTGTATGTGCTTATGTGTTTGTGCGCAGAACGATAGACGATGCTGCACTGGAGTTTGGTCCCACTGCGGATGCATTACCGGCGGACAAGTTGCGCCTCACTGCCCTGCAGATGCAGTCCAACATGGGTGAGTCGTGCTGTGTGGAACAGGACTGGGCAGGTCAGATCCGGGCAGGGCAGGTCAGAGCTGGACAGGGAAGGTCAGATCCCAGCAGGGCCGGTGGCATGACAAGGTGATGCAGGCATGGCAAAGAAGTGGGGAACAAGACAGGGCAAGGGAGTACAAGGCAGGGCAAGGTGTGACTGGCAGTGTCCAGAGCGGTTTGTGAACTCCTGCTGACACCGGGATGCATGTTACCAAGAGTACATAACCAAGAGTGTGCAACTCGACGATCCCCCAGCCCATGGCGGAATTTTTTTATGACATCAGTCTTTGGCGGCGGTTTGGCTCTCTGATGCCATCATGCGTAGCCAGAGATCAAAGTACAAATAATTTGTACATTACAGCTACGGTAGTTGAAGCAGAACAACGGACGATAGATCGATGTGTCTTGAACCTGACGAACTCTCACCGTATCTACAAAACAAGCGCGGGAAAGCATACCCACTTCATCATACTTCTGCCATAGAATGACGCAATAAAAAAATTCCGCCGTGGGTGAACCCACCGCAGCTCAAGATAGGAGTTGCACACTCTTGGTTATGTACTCTTGATGTTACGAAGACGGATGTGTATGTGCCAGTGGGCTTTTACAGTTGATGTTGGTTTGATGTTGATGCTTTTACAAGTATGACACTGTGGATTCGGCTCCCGTACCCCCAGGGCTGCTTTTGCGCCAGAAGCGCTTCTGCTGGAAGGGAGGAAGTGTCTCCACTTTTTCATGTGCTTCCACTACTCACACGTTTTCCTTGTAATGTGTGTGTGTGTGTCCATGTGTAGATACATCTGGTGAGAAGGCTAAGGTGGAGGTGGATAACACGGCGAAGGCCGACCAGAGCTTGCTGCAGCAGCTACAGGATCAGCATCGTCGCGAAGAGGAGGCAACTCGTCAGCGTGAAGAAGCCCAACGTCTGAAAGAGCTGGAAGCCCTGGAGAAAGAGCGGCGTGCAGAGCAACGTCGGCAAAGAGAGCTTACTCGAGAGCGGGAAGAAGACTTGGAGAAGAAGTTAGCAAATGCACAAGAGTTGCGGCTGCAGCAGGAACGCTTGTTGATGCAGCAGCGAGAGCAGCTGGAGAAAATGCGTCAGGAAGCGAAGGCTGCCAAAGAGGCTGAGCTATTGTCGGACAGTGGTACTGGTGTGTATAAGACTTCGGCTTCACCAACATCGGTGAAAATGGTGGATGGCGGCCCTCGGCCACATCCTAGATTTGATGTGAACATGGATGATGATGATCAGGAGCTTGTGAAGCCAAAGCGCAAGTCAAAATCAAAGTCAACCACCAGATCTGTGAGTGCATCGACTGTCTCGTCTTCTTCAACTGGACATGTCAGTGCTGTTACGGGCACTGCTGCTCCGCAAGCGCTGAGTAACACTGAGTATGGCAGTAGAGATGTCAATGGCGGTGCACAGTCCTCTCAGGCCGTGCCCATTTCAGCCAATGCCAGTCCACTGCTGGGCGCGTCGTCGTCCTCCCACCGAGGAATATCGAGTAGACAATCGCCCGAGTCTCCACCGCGCAGTCTTGGTACTTGTGCCCACAGTGGTGGAGCTACTGCTACTGCTGCTGCTGCTGCTGCTGCTGCTGCTGGTTCAGATGGGCATGGTGTGTATAGGGAACAATCTGAGCAGAGTTCTGCCACCAGAGTGGCCAGTGATCGCTACGAACCACCCCACACTGATATCTACGACAATCAGTACGGCAGTGGCAGTAGCCAGCCTGGATCCGCAAGGACAAGCAAGCCTGCATCGCGCGTGGGGAGTGGACGCACATCTCCCACTCCTGGCAGCGATCCAGCTGACACTGCTTCACCTCCGCTGCAGCAGCAATGGCAGCAGCAGCGGCGGCGACAGTCCAGTGGTACCCAGGAATCACACACTAGCTCGCAGCCTGTATCCGAGCTAGACATGCCCAGCAGCAGGGAAGTATGTAATGATGAAAGCACAGAGACACAAGTAAGTGCCGTTACGAACCATGATGTAGATGATTTGCACGCCACCGCTCGCTCTCTTCTGCTCACGTCGTCAGAAGAACCACTGCACAGAAGCGCTGCTATCGCCAATGGTGAGCAAAGTGCGGCCGATGCGATCGCGTCGGATGAGACAAGTGCGATCACAGCTAGTTCAGACATGAGCGTCAACGTCACAAGCCCTGCCACCACCACCACCACTACCACTAGTAGTAGTAGTGCCGGTGCAGAAGTCAGTGCCTCTCCTGTCACCGCCGACACGTATGTATCATCATCATCATCGCCATTGCCTACTGTGACCGGCACCGTGGACGAGAGTCAAGAAGCGTATGATGACTTCTTGGCACGTCTTATGCGCGGCTCAGCTCAACCGGTCGTGAACTCTAGCTCCGATGATGAGGATTACGACCCTAAAGAAGGAGATAGTCAGGCAGGACACCTGAGTGCTGCTGCTGCTGCATCGAAGGGTCCACTGTGGTTCGAGGCGTCCGTGCGTAGTGAAGTCCTAGCCATGTCACCGCCCTCGGCCATGCACGATGCCATTGCCAGGAGTCGCTCTAGGGAAATCCCCGGCCGTGCCAGCGAGGAGCTGACGGGACTGGAAAGTATAATGGGTACGACGGTGGGCAGTTATGTGTACGTTGACCCGGTTGTTCGTAGTGGTCAGAGGAAACCAACCGTGGGTGCAGCTGCTTCAGATAGTGCGCTAGTCAACAGACTCCAACCAGGTGCCGCAATCAATACAGCTTCTCCAATTGCCGAGGCAGAGTCGGATGCAGAAGATGAAGCAACGGACTCTTCAGCGGACGATGCCAGTAGCTCGAGCGAATACAGCGGTTCAGATGGGGAGGACGATGACGAGGTGCTCGAGTCTCGATCGAACGGAATTCGGAGCGATGCTATTCCCGCCACCCCGCAAGCGCCATCCAGAGGGAACACTTCAAGCTCGGTGACAAGTTTGTCGGGGAGTAACAACACTATGTCACCACCTGTACTTGTACCTACGAGCAGCGGTCGTTCACAATGGCATGGTGTGGAGGAGTCCAGTATACCGGGCCCAGCGAGTACTACAGAAGGTGGCTCACCGCCGGAAGAGGGCGAAGAGTTCGTCATGCTCTCTCTGGTCGACGTCAACGATGACCATTTTGCGCAGCCAGAGGTGGGTGTGCGCATGTGTACATGTTGCAGTGTGCGTGTGTGTACGTACATGCGTGAGAGACAGACGGGCAGACAGGCAGAGCAGTGTACCGAGTCAGTAAGTCTGTCTGTCGCTGTCAGTGTGCCAATTGGCAGAAGTACAAATGGGCTCATTTTTGTTTCCATGAATCATTATTTGTTCATTTATAGCGATGATAAAATAAGACCTCACACGGAAAGTTGGGTGTGGTCCTCGAAAGAGTGCTCAATGCACCGGGGTGCAGAGCTTCATACAAAAGGAATAGAATGGGGTACGGAGCTTGGGTTGGCGGTGATTCTATTCGCTGCCCTCTCTGTCTGCGTGAGAAGCTGGAGATCTTGCATGCTGACAGAAGAGTGAACATCAACAAGCGATCGGAGCTAGTGGCCAAGTGCAGACATGAGAATAAATTCTACCTATCTAACTTCACACCTCCAGTTACATAAACCAGGATTACACCTGATGTCTGGTGCTAATCTTGCAAGTACATGCATAGAATCACCGCTTGACCTTATTTGCGCTTAAATTCTCTGATTCCACTAGCACCTTACCACACTATATCAAGAACAGTCATTGAGTTTTTGTAATCATTGCTGTCTGATGATCGCCACCGGCGTGAAACTCGGAGTCACAGCCAACCCAAACTCCGTACCCCATTCTATTCCTTTTGTAAAATAAGACCTCAGTTCTCATAGAGCCATTGCATATTGAATCCTTGCTGTTATCACCTGTGCTCTATTCAACATGACATTGTCTGTCTTGTACTGTGTTCTAGGAACTTGGTGAGCATGCTACCATAGCCGATGTGGAAATAGCCATTGAAGTCAAGAAGAAGCGAATCCAGACCTGCGAGGAGAGCGAGAAGGAAGTGCTCGTTGCCGAGATCGTTCAGCTCCGTCTCCGCTTGCTGCAGCTTGTGGTGAGCGAGTTGTGTGTATGTGGGGGGGGGGGGGGATGTGTATGTGTATGTGTGGGGGGGGGCATGTGTATGTGTGGGGGGGGGCATGTGTATGTGTGTGTGGGGGGGGGGGGGGGGGGGGATGTGTATGTGTGTGTGGGGGGGGGGGGGGGGGATGTGTATGTGTATGTGTGTGGGGGGGGGGGGGGTGTATGTGTATGTGTGGGGGGGGCATGTGTATATGTGTGTGTGTGTGGGGGGGGGGGGGTATGTGTGTGTGTGGGGGGGGGGGGGGGTGTATGTGGGGGGGGGGGGGGCATGTGTTCATGTATGTATGATGCTATTAGGTTATACAATTTTAAATACCAGTACTGACATGAATTCCACTAGTATTACTAGTACACTGCAGTTCATGTGATGGTGGGCTGCTCAAGTTTTCTGAATGACCGAGGGTTGTGCCGCAACCTGTGTACAATGATATTTGTATCTTTTCTCTTTGTTTAGGAATCATCAAGCTCCAACGAGCAGCAGAAGCTAATCCTTGGCCACCGGTTTGTGCGCAAGACCAAGAAGCCTGGCTCTAAGAGCACGTGTGACCGGTGCGGTGCTGTGATTTGGAGGATGGTGCAGATCTGGTACCGCTGTGCAGGTCAGTCTAGTACTGCAGTTCAGTGCATGTATGAACTACCCTGGATACAGCATGCTATGGGACATAAACTACCCTGGATACAGCATGCTATGGGACATGAACTACCCTGGATACAGCATGCTATGGGACATGAAGTACCCTGGATACAGCATGCTATGGGACATGAAGTACCCTGGATACAGCATGCTATGGGACATGAAGTACCCTGGATACAGCATGCTATGGGACATGAACTACCCTGGATACAGCATGCTATGGGACATGAACTACCCTGGATACAGCATGCTATGGGACATGAAGTACCCTGGATACAGCATGCTATGGGACATGAACTACCCTGGATACAGCATGCTATGGGACATGAACTACCCTGGATACAGCATGCTATGGGACATGAACTACCCTGGATACAGCATGCTATGGGACATGAACTACCCTGGATACAGCATGCTATGGGACATGAAGTACCCTGGATACAGCATGCTATGGGACATGAACTACCCTGGATACAGCATGCTATGGGACATGAACTACCCTGGATACAGCATGCTATGGGACATGAAGTACCCTGGATACAGCATGCTATGGGACATGAACTACCCTGGATACAGCATGCTATGGGACATGAACTACCCTGGATACAGCATGCTACGGGACATGAAGTACTATCCTTGACGACCCTGCATTTTGCTACTAGTATACGAGCCATTTGACTTTGGATGTACAGTGCATCTGTTATAAAGTACAGATGTGTACAGCCCTTGGTGGTGCATGTGTGTGTGTGTGTGTATGTGTGTGTGTGTGTGTGTGTGTGTGTGTGTGTGTGTGTAGGTGTGTGTGTGTGTGTGTGTGTGTGTGTGTGTGTGTGTGTGTATGTGTGTGTGTGTGTGTGTGTGTGTGTGTGTCTGTGTGTGTGTGTGTGTGTGTGTGTGTGTGTGTCTGTGTGTGTGTGTGTGTCTGTGTGTCTGTGTGTCTGTGTGTCTGTGTGTGTGTGTGTCTGTGTCTGTGTGTGTGTGTCTGTGTGTGTGTGTCTGTGTGTGTGTGTGTGTGTGTGTGTGTGTGTGTGTGTGTGTGTCTGTGTGTCTGTGTGTGTGGTGTGTGTGTGTGTGTGTCTGTCTGTCTGTGTGTGTGAACTCTGTATTTTGGCTGACTTGTGACTATGTGCTGTCTCTATGTGCTGTCTCTATGTGCAGAATGCCATTACAATTGCCATGCTAAGTGCTTGGGTGATGTCAGCCGTTCGTGTGTACAGGAAGGAGTGGACAGAACACCGTTGATCAAGGTCAGTCTCTTACCATACTCACTACTGACTGTTACCATACTCACTACTGGCACTAACGTTACAGACTGTTACCATACTCACACAACAGACTGTTGGAGAGTTTGTTCCAAAGGAAGGATCCACGAGCGGGATTCGACCCAGCACCCCTGTCTTTCCGGAACAGTGCCCTACCGATTAGGCTACCGGGGATCACACACACTCATGGCTCCTTCTTGCAACAGGTTGTTGAACTTCTACCATGCCTTGGTTGTCAGCTTGACATTGTGCTCTTCGCCGGGGGTTCACTATGATGGCTAGACTAGCGCATCGTATTTCCCGAGTTTATGTCAGCCTGTTATGCACCAAACATCTAATTCCAAAACAGAATTTAACTATATGAATGTGTGTGTGTGTGTGTGTGTGCGCGCGCGCGTGCGCTTGCGTGTGTTTATGCTACTGCTGCTGTTTCCTCTGTACAGTCCCGCACGTTCATCACTGAGATCTGTCCCGAGCGAGGTCTTGGAGAGCAGCAGTACATGTGTTTTGAGTGCCGGCGTAGGATTGCCTTCTCTCCACGTAAGAATACCTTGTGTGCCACTATCTGTTGGGATTTTAGAACTTCGATCTGTCTGTCTTATCTATGTGTCATCTTCATTCATTCTTTCTTTTTCCATGTATCATGCTGCCTGGTTTACTTGCTTTGCTTGATATCCTGGTGTTAAAATTTAGATCACTGTGTTTCTGCTTACACATTCAAACGTATGCGTGTGTGTGTGTGTGTGTGTGTGTGTGTGTGTGTGTGTGTGTGTGTGTGTGCACGTACATAGGTCGTAATCACTTGGAAGCACGTCTGTGTGACTACACGGGCAAGTACTACTGTCCGTTCTGTCACTGGAACGACACGGCTGTCATACCGGCACGTGTCATTCACAACTGGGATTTTGAGCATCGCAAGGTATGTGCACGCTTGTCAAAACCTTTTTACAGTTTTAACTGCTTCGTATAGTTTGCCGTGTTTGGCTATCAGTGCCTATCACCCTTCATTTCACATTCATTTGTTATTGGCAGTCGCTTGACGAGTCAGGAAATGTTGAATAAATACAATACAATATCTTCACCGCTGACACTCTTTTCTGCTATAATTGTCTCATGTCTATACAGCATCATTCTTGTTTTGCGTCCGAGTGATACAGCCCGTATGCTGTGTTCTCTCAGTGTGTTGTCAGTTTTCTCATGAGGTTTTTCTTGTCCCGGTTGTGTGCTTTCTGCACTCTATGCAGGTATGTCGCTCCTCTCTGGAAGTGCTCACGCTGACGTCCAAGCGTGCGTGCCTGTCAGTCGGCGATGTAAACTCCATGCTCTATAATTACGTTGGTGACCTCAGCACTGTCAAGGTACTAAAGCCTTTCTCCATGGGGCACGTGTTTGTGTGTGTGTGTGTGTGTTTGTGTGTGTGTGTGTTTGTGTGTGTGTGTGTGTGTGTGTGTGTGTCCCAGCACAAGTTCCTATGTCTAACATAGCTGTTCGCTATCATCGCTTCCGCGATGGGCAGGTCTGAGGTCTGAGGTGTGTGTGTGTGTGTGTGTGTGTGTGCGTGCGTGCGTGCGTGTGTGCACATGTATATGCATGTGCATGCGCGTGTGCGTGTGCATGCAAGGATGTGTGTGCATATATTGTGTCACACTGTGTGTTTGTGTAGGGTATGTTTGTTCGAGCAATTCGATCTTTTGTGTAGCCTGTCACATAAACCTCCACTCATGGCATGAACATTTTTCCCCGGGCCTACACAGTGATGGCAAAACTCAGTTTGCATCGGATCCAGCACACAATGCAGTTGTATGCGTCACCAGTTTTGGCCTCTTCAGGAGCTGCTGCTGTTATTCTCTTGTAGAGAGACACTGCACACTGCATGCTTGCCCAAACCACCAGTGGTTGAAAATAAGGCCGGAACGATGAGTGCTCAATGTCGCAAACATGCTCCTCATTGGATCGTCTATTCTCCTTCTCTTGCGTTGTGTAGCAAGCAGCAATGGAAGTAGCACGGTTTGAGGGAGCATGGGAAATGAAAACCTCGCCATTAAGATAGGTGCGTTCAAACAGGCAGAGTTCTATTCCCTAGTAAATTAAGAATAAAAATAAAAAATACGGAAACGTTGAGGGCTACACACTTTAGCATATGAGCAGTGAGGTTGCACATCTCAGTGTGCTGCAATGATGGAAGCTCACAGGTCAGGCATGAGAAGGCATGCGCAACGGTCAACATGGCTCCGCAGCTCCATGAAGACGGCAGGCGCTGGGGTTGCCAGCCATACCACAGGTAGATTCCATCACTTGAAGGAAGAAAGGGAAGAGGCTCATTTTTCCTACGCTAGTGCAATGAACCGGTGCAGCTCTGCGTCCACAGAGGAGATTAGAAACAGCTCGAATATGACCAGCTGCATATCAGCTGTGGCCCTGGCCTGCTCCTTGGCAGGTGATGGCATCGTGTGTGCATGTGGGCGCATTTGAGCGGAAGGTAGCGAACATTATGGTCAGCACTTCTCTTTTTTCATGTCTAGGTAGCGTGGCCGAGTGGTCTAAGGCGCTGGATTTAGGCTCCAGTCTCTCCGGAGGCGTGGGTTCGAATCCCACCGCTGCCACTAGCTTTCTTTTTTTCTTTCTTTTTTCTCTCGACAAAGTCCCTGGGTATCCCGGAGAGAGCTCTTGACTTTTTTCTCTGTACTCTAATGGTACGATCGCATAATAATATGCTAATTAATTTGACCATATCCTAAAGTACCCAATAATCAATAAGCTTGAAAGTGCCACGTCACAGCCAGCAGGGAGTCATGACAACGCTGACTTTTGGGTCCGCGTGCGCCCAGTTTTTGTATGGATCCATACACGTTTGGGTGATTTTCCTTCACTCCTGGTACAGATACACAGTTACACAGCTGTGTGCAACACGAGGGGCCTAGCCACTACATACTCTACTTCGCTATGGTAAAATAAAAGTTAAAAATAATGATAATACCGTAAAGTACCGTTGATCCCCCCCACGCCATGTCGCTTCCCAGCTGGGTTTTCGGCAGGGGGCGGGAATTAGATCAAGGTTGTCAAGTGCAGTACGATGTACAACAACGTAGAAGTTCAGACTCAATGTGCTGGATTGTGCACATTTTGATCCTGGATTGGCAAGTATTGTGTACAGCAGTGCATGCGTCGGTTCAACATCGTATTTTCGTTGTATACGCCGAAGTCGTTTGACAGGTAGAAAATCGACAGGGGGTGGGAATTAGAGAGGGGGCGGATCAACGGTACTTTACGGTAATAATAATAATGGATGGTATGGGCAGAGTGGATCCAGAAGTCGTTATTTGTCGTAATTTGTTGACTTCTGACATCATCACTTTCAAGCCCTGTTTGTGCCGTGACCTGGCCTGGACAGCATAGTTCTGTGAACTGCTCCACAACCCGTAGCTGACTACCAGCACTCAGTCTTATTATTATTATGCTTCAGTGAAATTCGGCTATCGCAGCCTTTCCCAACGTGCTGGGATTTGTCACGTCTGTCTGCCGATCGCAATGAGTTCAAGGCTTCAAGCCAATCACTTTTGTGGGGAGTGGAGTAGCGGATATACCGGTAGCACACAATTTGAAACCATTCTGTACAGCTAAGAAAGGTGTTGCTTCTCACACGTGAATCTGCGAGTAGAAGGACACGCAAACACAGTGATATGTGTATGAACAAGAGGACATGAAACCAAGAGTTCAGCGTATGACTTGCAAAATTCCTAGATCACATCATAGTTGGTGCCGGTATGCGGCGGGAATTTGCATAGCGCGTACAGCTGAGCTGCAGCCGTGCATGTGCAGCATGGAGATGCGTTTGTATGCACTACATCACTGACATGATGCAATGCAGGAATTTCTTCGGAACAGCACGCCATTTGAGCTGCACGTCCTTGGTTTCATGCTCCCTTGGTTCGAATCAATCCCAACGGATCATGCAGTGGATTTACCCAGGGCGGGCAACTGTTATCGCATCGTTTTCTTGCAGAAGCACATGTATGATCAAGCCCGTGTGATTTTCACACTTCTCATGTAGACACCGTGTCAGTCCATTGCGTTCAGGATACGTGGAGTTACCGTCCGCTGTCCTAGTCCGACTAACTACTGTAGCTGTGTGTTGCACACGTTCTTTGCGCTTCTGATCTCTGGCTACGCATGATGGCGTGAGTGATCTCTGGCTACGCATGATGGCGTGAGTGAGCCTAGTGGCCGCAAAAGACCGATCAGAAGTCATCAAATAATTGTGCTGGGGCCTGAGAGATCGCTGAGTTGCAAACTCTTGGTTGCGAAGGGAGAACTTACTTGTATGACATAAGCAAGAGTGCATTTTACTCTTGCTTATGTCATGTAGTAGCTCGGTGCTACGCTGGTGCAGGCTCATGCATCATGTACCCATCTACATTGTATTTGTGAAATGGACTTAGTACCGTATGTCTAGTCTACATGTCCACATTGTCATAGTGAACTAACTGTAGGTGTTGTTTTTTTTGTCTTGTCTTTGTTTCTTATACATGTATTAGCAACTGCGTGAAGAGATCCTCATCATGAAGGAGTACTTTGTCAAGTGCCCGCAAGCCAGGAAAGAGAAACTGTTGCGACAGGTAAGTCACTGAGCAATCAATACACACTTGTATACAGTGGTTTCACATCAGATTGTCAGGTGACTAAATTTGTGTAGAAAGTGTGTGATCATGGAACGTTTACTGTGGAACCAACATGGCTGACATCATGTGACCCATAGATGCAGGGGTTGAGTGGAGTTGGAAGCAACATGGCGGCCCTATATGGTCATGTGATAGATATGAAACCACTCTTTACCCTGCTTTGCAATGCCGGAGTTGGTTACATCGATCCTACTTGTCAAAATACTTCAACGAAATCACGGTTCGCATAAGACTCAGTAAGACAGAATTTTCCACATCCGTAAGGAACGTCACCACCCTCAAAAATCCAACTCTCTTCTCCATTCTCTTTCTCAACTTTTGCCTATTATGGTAAGCTGTACTTGAAAACCTATCACTTCAACCAGTGGGGAGTGTGGAAGAAACAGTAGTAGTACAGCTCTAGGACTTATACAGCCTCTTTTACGGGCAAAATAAATAAACACAATGAATATTTTTTCCCATGTGTTCCAAAAAACTTCAACTCAAAGTTCTAGAAAGAAAAAACGCAAAAACAAAACCACAACAGCATAATAATGTATATACCTACTTAAGTAAACAGCAGCAAGCTCAACTATAAGTCAATAATCCAGTCACTGATACCGCTCGTGCACACTAAACCTGGGCCTCTACCACTGCCAGCGCAGCAGAGGTATCACCCACAGCCAAGGCAGACTGGCTAGAGAGCCTTCTGCACCCTCGGAGGCACATGATGCAGGACCGCAAGAGGGAGAAAGCGATCCTGCATCTGATGAAAGCCATCACATGCGAGTACTGCTCCCCTCTCTTGGCCGCCAACAGAGAGGCCACTCGTTTGTAGAGGGCTGTTGCTGCCTTGCCCATGGCTCTACTCGCAGACATCACAGCCGGAACAAAAGTGGCATGCTCCACTTGTCTCACTCTCTCTCTTCGTAGTGCCTTCTTTTCTCTCTTTCGTGTCGATGATACACAGTGCTACGTGGTGCAGACTGATTTGAGTGATAATAAGGATTAAAAAACCCGGACATCAATAAGGGTTCGCTCAAATCGACTGCCCCACAAACCACTGGCAGCGACATCAAGGCGTGCATGATCCTCCACGTTGGCCGTTCGGTATTGCAATTGCTCACCGGTCAGTGGCTGCAGCGTAGGCTCAGTGGACACATTGCTACAGACTTGGTGTAGGAGCTGTGCGGTAGTGTCACGGATGGCATTGTGCCGTATGGTGGGAAACCCTCCATGAGGGCAGGATAGTGAATGAGAAACACTCACCTCTTGGCCACATGAACAATGAGTCGGTATTCTCGCCGGCGTCCATCCATAGCGGAGACACAGCCCGCCCCAGAACTCTTGATTCGTGACGCTGAAGCCGTATTTCTTCAGCGGACGACATGTTAGCCAGCCAGAAGAACCCTTTTCTCTAGCAATATCAATGACGTTACGCAGACTCGCAGATGCATTCTGGACCACGTCCTCCATTGCCGCTGCCTGCGCTTGATGGGACTCTGCCTTGACTTCCGCCTTCATCTTGCGTATCTTAGTTACACAATCGTCAAGTGCAGTGTCACCAGACAGAATCTTGCTGGTGAGGGGCTCGGTAATGCGAACTGACGAGTTGTATTGCCCACATATGGACATAGGGCTCGTGATACCCAAGCCACTCAAACGGCACGGGAGTGCGAACACGTGCATGAGATCCCCACCAGGAGGCGAGCGGCAGGTCAACGCTGGAATCAGTTTTGTTCTAATGGCACCTTCACGTGGCTCCAGCAGGTGCGCGGGGATGTTCATGGTTCTGCAGAGAAAGGAAAGGAAAGGAAGGCCCTCTCAGTCCTGATACAAATGCTGAGTAGGCTGCCTGGGGCTGAGTCTGTGCAATAGTTGCAAGCCGATTGACCTCATGCACCCAGGTCTCTACCTTTCGTTGGATACCATATTTCCCCGAATATAAGTCGCACCTTTTTATACTAAACTTCAGGGCAAAGACGGAGGTGCAACTTACTATCGAGAGTGACATCCTACTTATATGCATGACTGTATTGAAACAATGTCGTTCAAACCTCAATGTGGGGGTGCGACTTATAGTCGAGTGCGCCATACAATCGGGGAAATATGGTAAGTCTAGCTCTAGGAGTAGGTGTTCACATGTACTAGTATATGCAGAGAAGGTAGTTATTACTTGGTAGAGCTATAAAAAAATTGGAAGCGAGTACACACTGTTGACCTCCTACAAGTTGTCATGTTGTGTGGTGACTGGTGATGTCTGCAGCACTCATACTTTCTATACATGTATTATTTGTCTCCTACGTAGATTATTTGTTGAAGGAAGTTATTCTGTGTTGTGTGATGTGATTCTCTGCTGCTGTGTGTTTGATTGTCACCGGTCCTTGGTGTTGTGTAGCTTGACAATCGCCAACACTATGTGGAGACATCTCACCTGTTCAGTCTCACTGAGTTTCTGGAGCTGAACAATGGCACCCTACTGCCATCACTGCAGCATATCAGCAGTAACTTCATCATGCATATCAAAGTGGATTGTGAGGTGAGCCACAACTACCGTACTTTACCGACTCCGGTTTTATGTCGACCCCCCCCCCCCCCCCCATACTTGAGACCTCAATTTACCGGTTCAAGGGCAGCTAGCCCCCCCCCCCCCCCCCGGCTGTAAGTCGAGCACCCACATTTTAGTTCGGTTATTAGGTTGTAAAAGGCTTACTTATAACCAGTAGAATACGGTACGTCTGTACCAATGATGACATGCTTGCCTTGTGAAATGGGCCTGGTACACACTTCAGTCTGGACAATCACAATCGGTCTGGCACTATGTATTTTGAAATCAAGATGTGCTCTCGTTGCTATAGTGTATTCTGAGTGTTTCTTTTGGTGGTGTTGTTAGTTGGAAAGGTCCTTTGTGGTGCGGTCACTTCCACCAGCTACATTGCCCTGGCTCGTCCAATCCTCTTGTGTCAGATACAGTCTCCAACCTCTACACAATCAGTTCGATTCAATGATTTCCATCAAACGCTCTGAGCCCGACACAATGGTGTCACTCATCCCGTTCGTCTGCCAGTGTGGATAGAGAGGTCTTCCTGTTCTGTGTGTGTGTGTCGACATGATGTGTTGTGGTGTGCACTGCTGTGCACTGCGTAGATCTGTCAAGAGCAAGGCTACACATGTACGCTGTGCCATTCCGAGGAGATGATCTTTCACTTTGACAGCCACTGCACAACGTGTAGCAAGTGCAACACTCTCTATCACAGGTAGGAACCTTGAAAGGCTGTGTGCGTGCCATGCCTACACTAATGCGAGTAGCCTGATGCTATTGCTCATCTTCTGTCATAGTGCTGGTGTGTGTGTGTGTGTGTGCGTGCGTGCGTGCGTGCGTGCGTGTGTGTGTACATGTGCCGTGCTTGTGTGTAAGTGTGTTGCAAGGTGTGAAGTCCACCAGGCTGGGTAAGTTGTGTTGTGTTGTGTTAGATATGAGGTTGTATGCTGCTTGTATTCTGCCTGTTCTCTACCCTCCACTTGTGCAGGGCATGCTTCCAAAACGGCACCAGATGCCAGAAATGCAACAAGGAGAACACTAGGTGATTGTGCAATGATTGCGCAATGGTACGCCTAGTCTGTTTCTCCAGGGTGGTGGCTTTTGGAGCTCGGAGCATTCGCAACCATGCACGCCACGCTGTCATATTGTGCATACCAAGTCTTTACTCTAATGTTGAATTCCGGCGCATGACTTCATGGAGAAAACAAATATTTCCAGCTTTCCAGCTCAAATTTCAGATAACATGTTTAAAAAAGTACAAAACCTAATTTGACTTTTTCTCACGAAATATTCTTTGCTACGAAAGCATCGCTAGAATCCCCATGAAAACATTGCAACTTTGCCACGAAAGGTTGCGCATTATAAATATAGCAGCGGCCGGTGGACATAAAATACTAGTGATTCAAATCTCCCTCATCCAGTTCAACTTCTTATCAACTCAACGCTTATTTTTATAACCCCACGAGATTTTGCACGCTCATGTTATGTGTCACTTTTTTTAACTTTTTTTCTAGCATTTCTCTACACTTTTAGGCTGATTTTAGGCTTTCTACTCCTCGCTATATTAATGCTTATCATTTGCCAGTTTGCTGGCTACGTGAAGTAGGCAGCGGAAGTCATTGGCTATGTCCGGAAACATGGAACACATCGTCCTCTCTCACGTGCACGTGGCCTCTTGCTTAGCAGAGGTTTGCAAGACGGTCCAAGATGGTCCCCATAATCATTGTATACGGCAGTGTTATAGGCTATCGTTCTCGCGCGGATTTTGGCTGGCAGTGTCTACCAGATGCCCAGCCCCGTTTCCGATAGCGTGGTGTTTGACATAACGGTAGGCTGCCTGCAAGAGCGGATGTCACTGGGCAGTGTGCCCTGGTCATTTCCATCTCATCCTGTCGATATTTTCGGCTTCTTCTGTGTTTCCACCAGCAAAGGTTGCAGCATGCTACTTCATGTTTTGTCCACTAAGTTCTGTCTCAGATCAGCCGACTGCTGTGTTTTGTTGGTGTTCACGTTGCTGAGGTCTCCATTCACAATCAGATGGAAGAGATGCCGTAATTTTAATAGATACGTATGCCCCCCCCCCTCCCTCTTTCTCTCTCTCTCTCTCTCTCTCTCTTCCCTCTTTCTCTCTCTCTCTCTCTCTCTCTCTCTCTCTCACTCTCTCTCTCTCTCTCTCTCCGTCTATCACACATACACACGTGCGTGCACATGCACACATACACCTATCCTGTCCTGTAGAGCCACTGCCACAAGGGTCACGTGGGCCCCGGAGGGGCAGCGGAAAGAGAATAGGAGAGCGTCGTCCCACGGCTTCCGTCACACATACACGCACACATGCTCGTGCAACGTTTCTTTTCCAAGCGCCCTTTGTGCACTCGATCTCGCAGCACCAACTCTGGCTATTGAAGATGGCATAATATTATTGATCTGCCAGGATGCAGCCAAGTAATAAAATATTCGATTTTTAAAAGATTGATAATTATCGAGGAAAAAATATGCTACACATATGGTTTGAAAACTGCAAGTGTAAAAACGTGGTAACATGGTGTAGTAATAATCAGAATCAGCCACATGGAACTGTACTATGCCCTCTGTTGATGAGCTGTATCTAGCTGTTCTACGCTGGTATCCTATTTTGTGATAGTTTTCCATATTAGGTAGTCTAACTGTGTCAAGATGGTTTAGGGGAAATTCTAGGGTAGTGTGAGCAGTGTAGAATCACAAATATTGCACCCTAAATGAGATACAGGTAGCTGGTCCTTGGATGAGGTGGCCAGTGATAATGTGAATAACACTTCTCGAAAGATGGAGTGAAGTGCTTGTGGTGCGGCCCAGTGCAACCCTGGGCCGACTGCAGGGCTCGTGTCAAGCACACTGATTCATGCATTCTCTGCACCACTGTGGCTGTGCTCAGTGGCCAGTTGTATGACATCATACTATGTGAGCTAATGACATCATGAGAAGCAGTAGCAGCAGCAGAAGCCATACCACTGCAATGCCGTTACGCATCATTCCTGTATGCCAACCTCACTGCAAAGCCGCTCCCATCATTACTGTATGCCAACCTCACTGCAATGGCCAATGCCGCTACGCATCATTGTTGCAAGCCAGCCTCACTGAACGAGCTCCTGGTAGTCCGGTACACGGCCGACTTGAGCCTGCGGCGTCATCAACAGTTCCTGACCGGCCACTGAGATTGGATACTTCTGATGAAACTCTATCAAGCTGTGCAGATCGTCATGAACCTTCTGATTATCACCGAAGAACTGATACTTACCCACGGCTGCAGCGTCGACGAGGAAATGCTTGCACTTGTAAGTGGATGCCACGGAGACTGTGTATCCCCAGATCCTCTCACTGACGCGAATCAGGAATGTGCCCGGAGGCTTGCCGTCCAGTAGCTGCTCGGCGTGAGCGCGAGTCAGAATTCCTGTTTGGTAGCACACACACGTGCACACACGCACGCACATGCACACACACACACACACACACACACACACACACACACACACACACACACACACACACACACACATGCACATCATACTCAGTAAGGGGCGGAATGGATCAGGGCCACAGGCCCCGTTTATTGCAGAGCTCCTTTGAGGCTTGCAGGCTTGTGGCATGCGCACACAGCAACTCACTCCCGTAGGCACTGCACCGCAGACATAATGTATGCGTGAGTGTGTTTGTGTGTATACACGTGAGCATATCTAGCCTTCAGACATGTTCTGGTCAAGAGAAGGAAATTATGTGTCCCCAATACCAGATGCAATTACTTACCATGAAACCAAGGACAGACCCTTCCTGATTTGTCACAGACTATGCGGCGAGACCACTCCACATCGCGGAACCACTGGATGACTTCAGCTTTGTTGGCTGGCCGTGCGGCTCGTTTGGTTTGTCGAGGTAGTGACCCGCTGGGTGGTCCCAGGCCCGGACGTGGACCACTGGGAACCGGCGGTAGCGTGGCGGTATTTCCCGGCCTGCAGACGGCAACACCAGCACTTCAAACGGTCACCATGGTTACTGTCTGGGGTAACTAAGGCGTAGAGTTACATTTGTGCAGTATTGTTACTATAGTTACTGCTCGTATATTACTGAATACTGGGTGGTGTGTCCTACAGTGAATACTGGGTGGTGTGTCCTACAGTGTTCGTCGATGTCGTGTGGGAATTGAATTCAAAAGCTGCTCTTGGCCGTGCGCCAGTCAAGTACTTCGAAGTAATCAATCTTCTGGTTGAGTGATAGGATAATCATTTCAGCCGCTGTACGTATAACGCACGTGTGTGTGTGTGTGTGTGTGTGTGTGTGTGTGTGTGTGTGTGTGTTGGAGGGGGGAGGGCTAACCTTGGAGATCTACTAAGCGGAGGCGGCGTGTGCCCTTGCGTAGATTTCGTGTCCAGAAGTACGACAGCAGGAGGGGTGGATAGCTCTCTCATTCTTTTCATCAGCTGTCCATTACTAGTCTGCTTGACTTCCTTGGCTCTCTGCATGGATCGCCGTCGTTCAGTCTCGTACTCTTTAGCTCTTTCCGTTTGTTTCCTCCATTCGGCCTGAGAACAGTTTGAGAAGATCACACAGTTGAATACCAGCATATACTTGATATAATGCTATTTATTGTTTGACGGGTTGAAAAGGGAACAGTTTGCTGTAGAGCACCCAACGAGTAACAGTTAGGTGGAGATGTAGCATGTACAATAGTAGAGCACCCAATGAGTAGGTGGAGATCTAGCATGTACAATGAGTAGGTGAGTAGGTGGAGATGTAGCATGTACAATAGTTCACTTGTCACAGTTCACTGTTTTTGTTGTTTAATGTTGTGAGCCAAGAAAGTCGTGTTCGTCTAGCATTTACGGTGGTTTTCGGTTTTTTCCACTAACTCTAGCCTACACTAAGTCTTGTAGCCCGACGCAGTCCATGGACACTGCAGAGGCTGGTTTTTTTCTCGGGCAGCTACATGTGTCAACTCAGTGAAGTGAATGAAGGCCGGCAGCTGCCTGAAGAAAGGGTGAAGATGAAAATAATGGCACAAAAAGGCTCACAGCAAGGCACGAGTACATTCAATCGGATACGAACAATACTTCAAGTAAGATAAACTCACTGCCCGCACTAGGTTTGACCCAAGGACAGTACGTTTTGCAAGGCAGAATGAACTTTTCAGTCGTTGCTTTTTGTAGTATTAGACCTGAAGGGGGGGGGGGGGCAACTTTGTCTGAACCAAGACAAATTTTTGTTGTATTTGAAGTAGGATTCAGCGTACCAACAGATCTTTTCTTCCTTAAAAAAAATTCACGGTTCGCGTGAGACTTGGCTTCCGCATCCATAGGATCGCCGCCACCCTCTTTGGATCCTTTTTAAAGTTCACTGGGAAACCTTTTTTTGTCTTTACATTTGCGATGCGTTGTCGAGCAAACACATTTATACAGTCAGACCTCGTTTATCCGGTCCTCGTTTATCCGGATCCCTCGCCATCCGGAAGGAAATCGCTGGTTACCGATGTGCAGCATATGTTATGCATACAACATAACCGGACCTCGCGATCCGCATACCGGTGCATGATTTTGTGTACAAACTGGTCAAAATGTGTACAAAATGCTTCGTCGTATCCGGTTGCATGTGGCTGGCTAGCGCTTGCAGAAGCTAGTATCAAGGAGTTGTACAAGCAAATGAGGTCCTTGACCTGCTGGGTGTGTGCGGACAGCACTCAGTTGCATGCACTTGTCATTTTTCTCGCTTGTTTTACATACTGGGCACGCTAGTTGTACTGCATAGGACCCGTCTACATGTATGTATGATGTCACTGCTTTTGACATGCCACATGCATGTACAGTATGTGTGTTCAGTTATCCGGTTACCTCGCCTATCCGGATGTTTTTGTGGAAAACAGATGTGTGCGGTTAAGCGAGGTCTGACTGTAGAAGGAAAAGACGAATGGTTGTGAAAGTGTTCTCATTCTCTTCAAGTGTGAAGGAAAGTGCTTGAACAGTATTGTACTTAGTTCAAGTGAGAGAGTGCTCCTACCAATGGCTATTTACAGTGCTGCAATAGCCCAGGGAAACCTCACCTCCACTACTTCGCGTTCTGATGCCTCCTGTTGTATTCTGAGCTGCCGCATGTTGACGTAGATTTCTTGCGACTTGCGTGCCGCCTCCTTTTCTAGCCGTTCTCTCTCCAGCTGCTCCTCACGGCGATCCTTTTCTTCCTGCTCTCGTGCTCGCCGCTGGAGGAGCTGCTCCTGCTCCTCTCTTCTCCGTGCCTTCTCCTCTTCGGAACGCTGCGCTGCTAAGCGTGCTTCCTTTGCGGTTGCGTAGATCATCTCTGCTTCTTTCCTGCAATACACACACACACACACACACACACAAGCACATACACAAACATATACGAGCACACCGTCAGAAAGTGTAACAAGTAGGTGCACAACTGAAGGAGTACTGAGACATTTAACCACCTGACTCCTAGCTCCAACACACATCTCGGAAGCGCTAACCAACAGCCTTATTACTGGCTCAACATCCGAGCGTCAATTGAAATGACAGTGTGTTTACCATCATGACGTCATGGCTTAGTGACATTCATCATTCCTAACACCGCTGCTTAACTGGGGCAGATTCTGAGAGGGAGGGTTTAAGTGAGTTAGAGAGAGAGAGAGAGAGAGAGAGAGAGAGAGAGAGAGAGAGAGAGAGAGAGAGAGAGAGAGAGAGAGAGAGAGAGAGAGAGAGAGAGAGGGTCTGCTCAAGTTTCTTACTGTCTTAGTTCCGCCGCGAACGCGTCATGTTCCCGTTTTATTCTTTCTTCCTCTTCTGATAGCAAACGTACTCTCCGTGCTTCTCGCTCTTTTCTAGCAGCTTCTGCTTTTTCCTCTGCTTGCTTCATGGCCAGTTCCTGAAGAAGATAATCAAAAGCAATACTGCTAGTTAGTCAGGTCATCTTGGCTCGCACCGTGACACATTGTGACCCCCCAATCACGGGCATTTTTTAATTAGGTCAGTCTTGTTGCCCAGGAGACGACCAGTTAGTCTCGCTGAGTGTACTCCAGAAAGGCATGCAAGGGTTTGTGCAAGCATTTCTGCATGGTGACAGTCCTGAGACTACAGATAATTTATGTCACTTGCGCCACTCAACCGTTGCAAATTCATTTTTTCAACTCTATAATAATAGTATATTTCCGACATGCAAGAGGTACACAAAAGGAAAATAAATAGGGCTGTTTCGTTGTTACTCAGAGTTTCATGGCAAAAACCAATCATCAGACAACAACTTTTTCCCACACGCAGTTTCTCTCCTTGCAATGATGCTTCCATTGTACTTACTTGCGCTTTCCGCGCGTCTTCCTCATCCTTCTGCTTCTGCTCCTCTTCTTCTAACTTGAGTGCCTTAGTGACCATAGTGTCGTAGGGTACATCTTCATCAGCCTCACCGAGCACCCACGTCCACGGCTGTTCCTTACTGTCCAGTAGAATCTCCACCTGCACATGTACATGTACAACAGCAACAGAGTTACAGCACCACCATCATCACCACCACCACCATCACCACCATCACCACCATCACCACCATCACCACCACCACCACCACCACCACCACCACCACCACCATCACCACCACCATCACCACCACCACCACCACCATCACCACCATCACTACCACCACCACCACCACCACCACCACCACCACCATCACCATCACCACCATCACCACCATCACCACCACCACCAGTAGGCAATAACAACAGAATCACCACCAGCAGCATCAGCAGCACCAGCACAGACAGCAGCACCAGCACAGACAGCAGCACCACCAGCAGCAATTGACATCATCAAAGGCACTACAGTGCAGTAGGACCAACACGTTAGAGTTACAGTTGCTTCGCAGTAACATTACTTGCAATATTACCCAAGTATAGTAACTACATGTGGTGCTAAAATACACTGGGCGTGTATTGTCTATGGTGTCTGCAGCCTGCCGGGCTGGGGTGCACGTGAAGACATTTCAGGTCCTGCGACTGACAAGGAGACTGTGCCCACTGACTGCCTGACTGACTGCTGGGCTGACTGACTGAGGTTAAACTGCTCATTAATTCTTGGGCAGCATGGACCTACCCCTAGGCAAGCGTTCTCGAAGGATAGGGGTGTTACTTAGTGCAAGTGATAATGCTAGTGCTGGTACTGAGTGGGGATGTTACAATACTGGTCGCAGTCCAAGTCATGGGCCTGGTGACTTGCAGCTCTCAACACTGAATGTCCAGTGATTCATTGCCACATGCAGTACACACCACTGCAGCAAGTGTGTTGGGGGAAATCTGGTACATGTGCCGGGCATGACACAATGCACACTGCGGCACTGCTATGCATGTGCACCATACACTACAAAGGTTATGTGATCACACCATCAGTCGAGATTTGGCGAAGGCGAGGCAGTCGGCGCTCAACTCACGCTGTATACAGTCGACTCCTGATATAACGAACACCATTGTGCAGGACAATTAGTTCTTTATAGCCAAAGCTCGCTATAACAGAAATGCACTCACGCTATTCAAGCAGCAAAATCATGACTGGCAAATGGCCCATGACAGTATGAGTGCACTTGGTTTACATGCAAACCTACAAGATTTGGTTCACTGTTCGCTATAAAGGGTCAATTTTGTATGGGTTCAAACAGGGACATGGACAAGGATTCGCTATTATCACGAAATTCGCTATAATAATAGTATATGCGAGTTCGTTATAAGTGGAGTCGACTGCACTTAGCACCCATAAGCTGCTCCGCTGTATCACCACCATGGCAATATTCGCATGACCTCTATAGTAGACAGCCACACCTGCTAGGTCCATATGACTCATCTCACTGACAGTCTGGGGTCTGTGGTGTTCAGTCACACATCATTGTAACTTGTAAGTAGACCTAGCACTCTCTCAGTGTGACTGGGATTGTGTTGCTTACAGCCTATCCATAGCAATCATGGGACATGTAGGAACATTATAAAATTACTACTACTTACTAGTCTAGGCCAGGCCTAAGGCTTAAGCCTAATACTAGTAATAGAGTTATTTGTATTGTATCTACTTGGAAGTACGCTCTTACACCCAGCTAAGCCTCAAAGCTCGACCAATTTTTCACCAGGGCCGGAGTGGTTTTCAGTACTCCGTGATCATGGTGATCTTGGCTACCCAGCTGCCCTGCATGTATACACGTAATGACTATGTTGTAGATCTACTGACCAGTTTCCTCAGTACAGAAGCCGTGCAGTGCTGGACTGCACCTCTCAACACTGCAACTCTCTGCTCTGCTGGCAACTCCTGCAGCAGTTGGGCCACTGTGGGGACACCATCCCTGCTGCCACTGCTAGTACCAGCTACTGCAGTACCTGTTTCACTTTCAGGCAACACTGCTGACAGTGCTGTGTCTGCTGGCACATCAGGAAGAGGGTGACTATTCCAATCTCGACTGGTACTAAACGTTGTTGTACTAGTGCTCCAGCCATCCACTCCACACACTGCGTCGACTGTGTTACTTATAGCAGCATCAGCACCAGCAGCATCTCCAGCACCAGCGCCAGTGCTAAAGGATCCCCAGCTGTTGCTGCGTGTGTTACTTTCGATCACTGACTCTGTTGGTGGTCGCATTTGCCAATGGCCATCCAGGCGGTCGTAGCCGGAGTAGAAGCACATTCTACAGCCAATCCACTTCTCCTGACCCCCAGGGTCGGCGTTGCAGTTGCTGCTGCTTCCAGTGCTGGCGCTTCCTGGGCAGTTTGTTAGTGAGTGTCTTCTCCGTCTCACACAGGAATCAGCTGGCACTGCGGCTGAATGGCATATCCGACAACCGCCAGTGCTTCTGCGGATTGCAGTACGCCCACTGCTGCTGGGCGTGGGACGAGAGAGGAGTATTTTAGACAGGACTTGGCGGAAGTTTTCGTCCGCACCCCGACACGTGTCGTCAGCATCCTGATCATCATCTGAAGACGCACCTCCTTCCTTGACCCATTCGTATTCTGCCTGCTCTGGCATTATGATTTCCCACTTCTCTTCTCCAACGTCTGCACACACTACGTCCTAATAGGTTTTAGATCAACCCTAACAACCGAATGGAAAGGTTGTGAATGTCCTCTACATCTTTCTCGCTGATTTTAGACACACTCTGCACAATTCCCTCAGCAAATGTGCGTTGCTGTCGTCAGCAAACATTTCAGTCGATTACTTTCGTCGCGCTCACAGAACAGCTTTTCAATGGGGTCAGCTGGACTTCAGCTTGCAAGCGTCGCTTCATTTTGACTGCCACTACACAGCTAGAGGCATGCTACACAACAATTTCATGTCGATACGCGATTGTTTGCTTTCGCTCGCCGTGCACACACTCGCTAACAAGCGGGCTGTTCAGTGAGATCTACACGTATTCAAGAGGTGCGATTGTGTACACGCTACAACACATTTCACCTGCTAGACCAGCCGCAAAACTACATGAACCCACCTGCGCTGCAGGAGCGTCACAATGTGAACCCGAACGGATGGGGAGATGAGAAAGAGACTCAATAATTACCTTTCGGGGTGGCTTGTTAGTCGTCTTCTTGGCGGGTGCTCCGTCAGGCTCTTCCAGCCACACATCATACCTACGTACCTGCTCTTCTCGCATTTTCATGAAGAGAATCTGCTTCTGCTCTTCGGTCAGCTCCTCCAGGAGCTCCGGCTCGATGAACATGTCCTTGAGAATTTGCTGCAACATGGTGAGCGTCGTGTGTGCTCTCCACAGAGCGGGTCCCTTTACCGGAATGCACTCCACAAACTCACTCTATTCCGCGACGCAATCAGGACTCAAACGGACACGACTGCCGCTGTGCCGGACTGGGAAAGGGTGCGCTGGAGTGCACAACTGGCATCAGAAGAAGCGACCGGGAAGGACCGCACTACTTTTGTAGTCTGTGCTGGTCGTAGCGCATCCGCAAACACTCTTCGCAGGACAGGCAGCCTCTGCATCGACCAGCCCAACCCTTCTAGTTCAGCATTCACTTCACCGTCACTGCATCAGCGAGTACAGTGTTGCACACATTTTCTTTGGTAAAGATTTCTTGCATGATGGATTCGGACGAGGAACTCTCTGGGTATCTGTCAAGTGATCCTGTGCCCTTGGTGTGGCCATGCTGTCATCTCCAATTCTGCAGAACTAAGCTCACGGCAGACTCAGACCCGTGGTCATGGTGGACATGGGACGTGTGCACAGCCGGCACGCGCACATGCATCATGATTGTCATAGTATACTCAACACTGGACTGCAGAGTTTGGTAATACTTACAACTACAAGCAGGGAGTCCTGAAATGGCTTTCATGACTCCCTGGACCCTAGCCTTGCTTACAACAAATGGTCGTACTGTCAGTACAGCTGTAGTCTGGTATGGGTACTGCCACTGATAGTGATACTGACAGCTGCCGGGCGACATGCTATGTCGATGATCTGATGCATTATACTATAGCTTATGTTATTATGACGGTGAGGCGCAGGACATGCAAGTACATTTTGAGACAGGACATCCGGATTGACAAGTAAACAGGTAGATCTGCAGTAAAGGCCAAGGGTTATGATCTGAGTGAGTATGAGTACGACGTGACATTGAGCGTGTGTAGTCGGAAGTCATGGAGATGGCAGTGAGAGGGGTGGCGTCCATGGCGTCTTGACGAGCATATTGTACATTACAATTTACAGTCAGTACTTTCCTGTTCGTGTAGTGCCTGGCCTGGCCTGGCCTGGCCTGGCCTGAGTACGAGTGCTGGCTAGCTGTCACGTGTTCGTGTAGTGCCTGGCCTGGCCTGCTGGCTAGCTGTCACGTCTTCTGCTGGATCCCGGCAGTCGCGCGGGGGGGGGGGGGGGCTGCTGAATGAGCAAAACAACTGGATTATGGATGGGAAAGCATACTTCCCTGCAGTTTCGGAGATCGTGCGTGATTACTGGAATTTGTGGTTTTGTTCTAGTGCTGGAAATGCACACGCAACAACGACGACGATGACGACGACGACACCAACAACAATGAACAAGAGAGAGAGAGCGAGAGCGAGCGACTGCACATGCACCAAGGCATTGGTTGTACAACATGTATTGTGTCGGTTTGTCGGCTCAGCAAGTATGAACAGGAACTGAGGCTTGGAACCCATTGGCCGGTGATTACTAACTCTGGGATCAAACCACACAATGACGCTAAGACGAACATCAGAATGTTGGATTTGGCTGCTAAAGAACGACAGCAGTAGTAGTAGTAGTAGTATCATGAACATTTGTAAGACTGATCTATTGTGTCATAGGCAGAATATAATGACGTGTACCATTCGAGAAATATATATCAAATTTCCGTACATCTTTCAGCACAGCCGGGTTAAATCAATTGTTGGATGAACGATTTGGGCATCCGGGTGGTCTTCGAAATCAGAAGACATTGCTAAGTGAAAATACAAACTCCATGTCAACAAATGAATGGGAAGGAGTATCTGCTAAGAAGTTTCATCCAAGCTGCACTCTGGAGCATTCTCCTCTTGCAAGTCTCATTTTTGATACATAGACAGTGGCGGCAGGTGCCACTGAATGTCCACTGTGACTTTGGACAAAGGTCGCTACACCATCTCATCACAATATCCTCACAGCTTGCTGAGAGAGAGAGAGAGAGAGAGAGAGAGAACGTGAATTACAGGAGAACACAGCCATTTCCTCTCTGACCAGCTCTCCCATCACCTCGTTGACGCGCATTTGGCGATAGAGGCTGGAATCCCAGCAATTCTGGGTTGATGATGCGGATCTGTTCTAGCGCCAGTTGAAATGCTTCGTTGATGTTTAGTCCGGTCTAAGGGATAGCAAGAACACATGACATCACACAAAGACTCATTGGTTTGATATTGGTGCTGGGCATCTCAGCAGCCTATGCTTGTACATAAGAGCTAGCCACAGCCGCAATGTCTAGGGGGAATAGACTTGTTCTAAGAACCGTGCACTGAGTGTGTGTGCCAACAGGCTTGGGCAAAACGGTAGAATGTGACGACAGATGTTCACACAGGTGTCTTCTTCGAAGCATTATGAAATCGACTGGCAAGTGAATTCCAGGAGCATGGTCTTGCATCTCTCATCACTCTCTCACTCTCTTTTTCTCTCTCTCCTCCCTCCCCCTCTCTCCTCGGCTCCACCACCTCCTCCCCTCCTCTCTCTCCTCCTCTCTCCTCCTCCTCTCTCGCTCTCGCTCTCTCTCTCTCTCACTCTCACTCTCTCTCTCCCTCTATCTATCTATCTATCTATCTATCTATCTCTCTCTCTCTCTCTCTCTCTCTCTCTCTCTCTCTCTCTCTCTCTCTATATCTCTCTATCTATCTATCTCTCTCTTCCCCTAAGTAACCATGGCTTACCTTTGCTGACGTCTCTATGAATGGTGTTTGTATACTCCTGCAGTAAGGTACTATGTCATCCATTGATACTTGTTTACTCTCCTCCATATCCTGGCAAAGTCAAATGGCAGAAGGGAAACGGAGATCAATAAAGAAGACCGGCAACTCTTTGGCACAATAACACCATCATAGCAGTACATGTATAAAACTACACCATCGCAAGTTTGACTCACACTGTATACCTCAAATGGAAGCCTGTGTGCTATACTAGCTGTTACAAGACCAACCTGTTACTACCACACGGAACAATGAACACCATGCTTCAGTGAATCATTCTGGAAGGGGGCCATAAGAGAAGTTATCTGGAAACATGGATATTGTATGCTGCTGGACAACTAGAGCCTTCAATTCAATGGTAGCTGCATGTACGTGATGCGCGCGTGTGTGTGTGTGTGTGTGTGTGTGTGCGCGTGTGTGTGTGTGTGTGTGTGTGAGAGAGAGAGAGAGAGAGAGAGAGAGAGAGAGAGAGAGAGAGAGAGAGAGAGAGAGAGAGAGAGAGAGAGAGAGGATCAGACTATTACACAATGGAGCGTACCTTTTTATTCGCTACCACAACCATCGGCACTTCCTCCTTATCTTCATGATCACGCACAATTTGATCCCTCAGCTCCTTCAGTCTGTCCCAGCTACTCGCAGAGTTAATGGCGAAAACGGCGACAAACGCGTGCCCCTGTGCCAGCGACGTATGGCAGAACTCTAGAAACTCCTCCTGGCCTGCAGTGTCCACGATCTCTATGTTGCATATCCGAGAGCGGAATTCGACCTTCAACCGAAACACACACACACACAAACACACATGCAATGAGCTTGGCTTAGGGCCCGGAGAGTTCATGCCCTGTGAGTGAAGCAGGCTTGACCTGCTGTACACTAGGTTGAAGCCTATCACAGTGGTCTGTTGTGGCCATGCACACACCCAGCCCGGCCGGGCTCAACACTTGAAGTCTATTGCTAAGCATAATACTCAGCGAAGAGCCATGCCAGAGTCTTCCTTTCACCCTGCACACACACAACTCCTGGGTGTCACAAATACAGTTGATTCAAGAAAGCTATTCATACATGTGCTGTTAAACTATCATAAATCCCCTTGGCCATGGTATTGGGAAGCGAAGAGGAGAGAGACAAAGAGACGATGAATTACAACATGAAGCAGGACTGAGAAAGAAGTCATCCCGGCGACTCGCGAAGACTGACTGTCATGGCAACCATGGTCCCAGGGATCTAATAATATTACGAAGCCTATGTATAAAATGAACTCGATGAGATGGAGAGAGTAGCAAATTGGCATTGCACATGCCTAGCTATGCAACAAATGAGCAATGGCGGAGAATGAGCCAGAGCACCACTATCAGTGCTTTGTTTCCTTCTCATAAACCCAACCCTCCGAGAGTATCATTTCCATTTGTATTTAACAACAGCTACAAAGGAGAAGGTACAACCCTGGACAGCATATCAGTGGCACACTCTCACCTCAGTCTGGTAACTGTTCTCTGTGTAGCCAATCATCATGTGTACACAGAGCAGGGCAAACAAAACCAAAAAAAAACAATCAGGTCACTTTCAAGCGGTACTTAAAACATATGTAGCAGCGTTCCCCGTAACCAATCTCTTGTGTTTGCTACTGTAACCAATCTCTTGTGTATGCTACTGTAACCAATCTCTTGTGTATGCTACTACGGCGGCACATCTATCACAGAGCCAGACATTGCAGCCAATGTCATTCACAGTCCAGCTCCAGCCAATCCCTGCATGAATGGGTCACACAATGTCGGCCATATTGAGTCATCATGCCAAGTACCGCACAAACATAGTCACATGATACAGATGTGCAACAACTCCAGAGTAACTCAACATGGCCCACCGTCACGGGTAATGCAGCGACGGTTTGTCATTTCTCATCCACAGATCACATGGGTGACAATGTTGTCAATATTAATGTCTTGCAAGTTCCCAGTGGCAACAGTTCTTCCGACTTACCTATGGTTGGGTCATAGTACTGTGCAAGACAAACAGAAGAGACCGAAGAGAGCACACAGTCAAGTTGGGCTTGTATTGTGTGGACGGTGCTATCATCTCATTCATCTGACTTCTACCTCATGATGTCAGCATGATGTAATGATGATGTAATCATAATGGTGCCAATAATTATGCAGTTTTCTTATGCTAAGCAATTCCACAGTGTGCATGTATACTTTGTACCTGTTGCGTGTATTAGGTACAGTCAAGCCACAGTTCAGCAGCAGTCTGCCCGTGTAAAGACCTACTGCTAGTACAAGTAGTACAGATACGCAATGAAAGGTACTTCAGTGCTTGCAGCACGTTTGCTAGTGGGCCTTTGCTGACTTTGATGTACACCTGAAGGAGAGTGACACAAGGCTGAGAGTGTCAATGCCTTAGCATAACTATTACTTACTTATCGACAACTGTCGTCAATGCAGTACCCAAACCCATGCATTTGTCTAGAGCTGAGGCATGCCCAAAACACTAGTAAGGACAGTGTGGAATTGATTAGATAAAAGTCGTAACTTATTGGACCAGTGCTCTAAAATAAGAGTATTTGACTCACAAACACCCACTCAGAGTCAGGGCATTGTCCCCTATAGCAACACAGTACCTGGTTCAGTGCTGCAGACCAGCATGCATGCTAACCAGGTGCTATTCCTCTGCACCAAACATTTGCCGGCTTTGACTACTCCCTCCTCACCATACAAACAACGGAATTTTGGTATACATTTACATGCTAACAGACCCACAGTGTGTGTGTGTGTGTGGGGGGGGGGGGTGGGGAGGGGGTATGCCTGAGCACACACACATACACACACACAGACAAGAAGAGACATGGCCTTCTGCTCATGTTCTACGTCATCCCTGGCAGGCCCACCGGAACCGGTCCTGTCAGTCAGGTTATCACAGCCACCAACACATGTTTCCTACTATGGAGGTCATGTGTACCCACTGTAGCATACACAAACTGTATGAACGGCCATGATCATACCGGACCAATCAATAACTGCTTCCGTCGGTCCTGCTTGGTTATCCCTGACCGTCTAATACTGCAATGACTGTCCTCGTAGCAAAAGTACTGGTATTAGTACTGGTATTAGTAGTAGCACGTGGTTACAGGCACAACTTGACCGCCAGTGCGGCATGGATCTGATTGGTTCTAGTCCAGTATCCAGGAAAACAGTGGACGTCAAATACTCCACATCGTAGCCAGCTAGTGATGCTCAGAGACACGGGTGTTATCTATCAGTTTGCTCTAGTTTTATCATGCGGTACACTGGGTGCAGTAGGCAGCATTGCATGGAAACCCCACTGGACTGGAGCTGCTGGATTTCTGCCCCCCCCCCCCCCCTGCACGTTATGAGTTTCAAAGACGGTGTTGACACGTGGGCTTGGAAAAGACACGCCCAATAAGCTGATTAGCGACAGTCAATGCCAAGATACTAACGAGCACATGTACTAGAAATAATCACAATATCAACATCAACAACACCAAGACAACAACACAACTGGCGACACCCAACTGGCTTCACGGTGCATTATAGCAATGGATGAACCATGCGCCACAGAAAGCACTGGAATACTCCCCCAGGGTCAAGTGGAACCTAATACTGACAAGATTAGTACATTGACACTCCCAGCTCTGTCATGATCTAAGAAGGCTGAAACAGCAAGCTCACAGTCTGGAGATTCAGGATGGCATTCAACTGAACGTATTTTAGGCAGGATACTGAGGACACAGGGGGTATATTTTGGGGCCAAGAGTATATTATAGCATGCTAGCAGCCTGACAAAGCCCTTCACACCCCTTCAACATGCCAAGTACTAATCCATCAGTGATGAATGCACAGTGAATGGGAAACAATTGACCGGGCAAGGTACAAAAGCAAGTGGTTGTGTCCTGATTTCGATATTGCTTTAGTGTTTTGTTTACTTTCATTGACCTAAGTAAGTAGTTAGTACATCTACTGGGACATCTCTCTCTCTCTCTCTCTGCTACTAGTACTGGGACATCTCTCTCTCTCTCTGCTACTAGTACTGGGACATCTCTCTCTCTCTGCTACTAGTATTGGGACATCTCTCTCTGCTACTAGTAACTACATGTAAGTACCTGTGTATCCAGATCAGGAGCTGCCTCCACCGGCCTTGTTTACACCCCTCACCTAATATTATAATGCCGCTATTGGTACCAGCCAGATTCTGGTCCAGGCCTAGTAGCCTGGCTGTCAGCTGGCCTAGGCGGCATGACGAAACCAACTTTACCGACCGTGCTTGGTACTTCTCTTCCTAAACTGGCTAAAGGATGTCTTGATTCACTGAGACGGAGACTGAGACTGAGAGCCTTATAACAGTGCTGACATTGAGTTCAATTCTCCATCATGGTAGGGGCGTGAATGCTCTATACTAGAGTGCATGCCAGACCAGTGTTTGCAGAGATGACGTTCACTGTCCGGATTTTAGTAGAGGCGCCGCCGCAGTGTGTACCTGGATACTCTAGCATACACACCACTATGCTATATTACCCCCCCCCACCCCCCCCACCCCCCCCCCCCCCCGGGCCCCGGCACCAACAGTACTAATCATGAAGGCAGCAGTATGGGCAAGAATTAGTTGCGTCATCCTCTGGGTCATCCTAATAATGATATTATTATCATAATTATACTATACGTGATGATCCTCCCTCCGGCGTAATTACTAATGTGCACTGTGTCATGTGCCGTGGTCACTGACACACACAACAGCATACACAGTTACTAGTGCTATTTCGAAGTACAGTCAAACCTCTTTAGGACGAACATCAAGGGACCGATGATATTTGTTCGCAATAACGGGAGTTCTTCTTATCCATATGTTTTACCCAGTGAATACACAGGGTTTTATCCAATACAGTTACGAATACTAGTTCTTCTTAGGCAAACATTTGTCTTATCAGTGTTCTTCCTAACCAGGTTTCACTGTACAAACACTAGCTGAGCCCAGCACTAGTAGTACACAGTGTGTGTGTGTGCATGCGTGTGTGTGTGTGTGTGTGTGTGTTTACAGTTACAGGATACACATATTACCATACGTCATAGCCTCCTGAACTCAGCACTGTGTGAGTAAACAAGACTTGACAGTGTGAACTCAGCACTGTGTGAGTAAACAAGACTTGACAGTGTGGGTGGAACACTCTGAAGTGACGCTACCGAAGTGCTGCACTATCAGTATCAGGCAGGCCTTGTTTACCCCTGTAGGGAGGAGGTCAAGTATATAGGTCCATTTCTGGCACAACGTCCAAGTACATATACATAGGTCCATTCCTGGCACAATGTCCAAGTACATCTTGACTTTAGTACGTCTGTCAATGTGTACACTGCAAAGGCATTATCTCCAGTCTTATCCACACCATCCCCATCTGTAGTTTTACACACACACATGTACTAGTAGTAATCATGACCAGATCTGTATACACTTACACTTAGCTTCCATGAACTATCATGGCATGTTGGATGAATAACACCCTGGGGAGGGGGGGGGGGGCGAAATCTGAATACAAACCCAAAGGGGATTCTCAACCCAACCAAGTTGAACAGCGGAGTATTGCACCCCTAAGATGTGCAGCCCCTACATCACTGTACTGCACATTGCGTTTCAAATATGTTGTATCTTGCGACTCAATATTTCATTCAACACCACAGCCAACTGTACAGTACATGACAACATACTCCTTGCCAAACCGCCGCATAAACAAGGCTCCTGGCAATCAGGCAAGGCGATACACAAGATGCCGGTAGATGCCGCACTAGCTAACGTCGGACACTGTAATTCCACTAGCTCTACTGATACACCATATCAGTGCGCACACGCACACACACACACACACACACACACACACACACACACATGCATGCACACACGCGTGCACGCGCACACACACACACACACTTCCTCTCTCTTTCTCTCTCTCTCTCTCTCTCTCTCTCTCTCTCCCTACCCTCCATATCTCTTCTTGTCACTGCCTCACACAGATGTAGTGATATGTCCTACATTCCCTGCATGGCAGATAAGTTACCGTTTTGCATGCACCGTTGAACTAAGTCACTGCAAATACACAATCATCTACATCCCACACACCTAGGTCCTTTGGGAATTGGAGCAGCAGCAGCAGGGGGGGGGGGGGGTAGTGGGAGTGTGCCTCACACACACACACACACACACACACACACACACACACACACACACACACACACACACACACGCACACACACACACACACACACACACACACACACACACACACCTCAGACCTGCCCATCGCGGAAGCGATGATAGCGAACAGCTATGTTAGACATAGCAACTTGTGCTGGGATTACACCATTCAACAGCTACACACACACACACACACACACACACACACACACACACACACACACACACACACACACACACACACACACACACACCGCCCTACTCTACAGATACTTCTACATGTACATGGGACCAGTATCATTGCACTCTGCAGTCACCGTGAGCGAGATACTTTTCCACTGTGGATGCTGCCAAGCCGATGGAAACTCCACATGGAGTATCCAACAGTTCAAGATGTGTGCACTGGGATCATCAATGAGACCTTCTGCAGTGTTCTCACGAATCCTCGCACCCAGGTAAAGAATGCGAATTTGCCGCCTTCTCGCCTCATGCAGTGTACTCATACAAACGTGCAAGAGGTAACCACGGTGACCAAGGCGACAGCATTACACGCATCAGAACTTCTAGTCTAGATTTACTTTTCTGGCCTCATACATGTAGCTGCATAGCTAGAACGTTACTGTCGGTACAGTTGGACTTCACTTCTCCACACTCCAGTTATGCAAACCCTCGATTATCCAAACTAACAATTTCCAACGGTTGTGCTAGGCCTGGTTATTTAAAAACCAGAGCGTTATTATGTTTACGAAAGTTCTGGCTTGCTTTCTCAGTCTATTTTTATGAATACCTGCAACTGAAGTTGGCAAGAAATGCCCTGAGTGGAAATACATGTACGTGATTGTACTTTCCCTCCAACAACATGGCAATCATGTGTATGATGCCAGGAAAAGTACAGTTTGGACTAGCTCACTGAACAAAATTAATAATGGATGTATCCATGCAGAAAATCATCTAAACGGTTTATTGTCTGGGCTCATGCATAACCAAAGTCGTCCGTAAAACTCTAAGTGAGGTTCCGTTGTGCATTGCCATCACGACCAGCATGCAACAATGCTACAGTTACAGCGAGCACAACATGTGGCTGAGCTTACTTCGGAGAATTCGTTCCGCAGGTAGCGTAATGTTATGCTGCTCTTTCCCACGCCGCCATCGCCAACAACGCAGATCTTGATCAAGCGACTCATGCCCACAGCCCAGATAACGGACAGCAGCTACGCAGAAAAGTAACTCTATC